GGCTGCAAAGTCTTGAAAATAAAGATATTCCTAGTGGATTTTTATTTTTTCAAAATATGCTAAGTTTTCACATGTATTTCTGAACCCTGTATTTTTTTCTACTGATTTTTGTTGTTGTTGCTACATCATGCTATTAAGATTAAAATTGCTTTATAGCAACTATTCATATTTAGTATTTGGTAAAGCAATGTTTTCCTTACTAAAATTCTGTTTTGGAAATATCTAGATGATACTCTTAAGCATTCATAATATTTATAGTCATAAGACTATAAAATATTTTTTCTTCTTCGAAAGAAACCCACATTGGGACTCTGGTGGAATTGCATTACATTTATACATTGATTTCAGGAAAAGGACTTTCTGATATTAATTTTTCACACAAGAACATGGCATGACTCTCTACTTGTTCAGATCTCTTTTGGTTTTTTTTGTCTTTAAATACGATTTCTTAATTTGTTTCAATTGGGTCTTGACATTTTAAAAACAGTATTCTTAGTTGTTTTATATCATTTGTTTTTCTTATGAGTTGTGTATTCCTTTCCCATTTCTGTTTCTCACTGGTTATTACTATGAAAGAAAAAAGCTACTGACCGTTGTATGTTTAACCCATCTACCATACTAAGTCCTCTTCTGATTCTAAAATTTTTATGACACTCTCCTCAACTCCCAGTATCAACCTCCCTTACAGCCAAACTGGCTTCCTTTCAATTACTGAACACCTCATCTCCCTCCTGTCATGAGTTCTTCTTAACATACCTTCTCTAAGCCTAGAAGTTCTTCTCCAACTCCTTGCCTAGTTAATCCCTGCTTATCCTTTAGATCTTGGCCTAAGCGCCCCTTTCTCAGGGCTGCCATCTGAATTAACTTGATCAGGTTCCCTGTTTACCTGTTCTCATGGCCTTAAGTACCTCTTCAAACATCGACCACAGTTTATAATGCATACATTTATTTGTGTGGTTACATATTTAATGACCCTATATCCCTCCAATTACTAAACCACATGAAGGCAGGTCCTGTGGTTAGTTTTGCCCTCCGTTTTATTCTGAACGGCTGGCACAGAGGAGGTGCTTAGTAAGTGTGTGATACGGCACAGGCACCACAGTCCTGGGCCCTTGGGCCTCAGGCTCTGAGGTCACACAGTTGGTTTTACAAGACCAGCTACAAGCTGTGTGAAAGCCTCAGCTTCCTCATCTGTAAAAATGGGATGATAAGAATGGCCACTCGCTGTGTGGTATTAAATGAGATAAGCAAAAATGAGTGCATCATAATTCCCAGCACAGAGAGAGCAGTGTGTTCTGCTGTTGACTTCTATTTCTTCTCATCACCAACACTCTCATGTCTGTCCTTGTGGAGGCACTGTCTGTGTTTTACGAAACATTCCTACCCAAGAACGAAGTACAGATTTTCTTTTTGCTCCATAGAAGTGGGCAATATATTTTCAACTCCATTATCACTTTCTGAGTGGGAATTTTTGGTGAAGTGGACACAATGTAGGAAATGTCAGTAATACCATCAGGTTTTTCATAAATTGTGTGAATGGCTTATTTCTTAGGAGGTTGCACATGGCAGCATATGTTACTACAAATAGCAGTTAGCATAGAAAAAGTCCTATCCAACTTGATAGAAAACATATTAAATCCAACGTTCCCTAAAACACAGTTCCATGTTGCTGATTTAGAAATTGCTCAAGTCTTTCAAAATATAAGACATATAAAATACTTTATTTTTATAATATTTTCTGTGCATATGGATTTTAAAAAATTGTTTCATTACAAATTTTCAATATTTTTACATTTTATCATATCAGCTGGCCTAAATCAGGTATATTTTTTAAATGAATGCAATTTCTTTACAACAAAAAGAAAATACATAGATATTTTTAAATGTAGATGGGGAAAAAATAAAAAATCAAAAGAGTGACATAGCCAATAGAAAATGAAAGTATTTTATTTTAAAAAGGAAAATTTGTAAGTTATAGCCTATAATTAGTCTTAGTATCTAGTAGAGTGACATATATCAAAAGAGAAGAAATGCATATCATGGAGGAAAAACAATATATTAAGTGACAAATTATATTTGCCGATTAATGAGCATCTAGTACATATCAGGAACTATATTAAACAATTAACACAAATCTTATTTAATGCATATAACAGAGGATGAGTATTTTATTCCAAATTTACACATGGGGATAGAGGTTAGGTAACATACCCAAAGTCAGACATAGGTATTGAGTTGCAGCCCTGGAATTGGAACACATATCTGGCTGGCTCCAAAGTCCAAGTTCTTTCCACAAGAGTCCACTACTGATAGACTCTGCTATCACATTTTATTTGACAACAATTCTGAATTCCAATGCAAAATAACTTCTGAGCAGTAAGTAGTTATAATTGTCCCTGTGTACATCATCATAAAAATATATTTCATTCTCAATGAAAACAGCATTAATACATTTATGGGTGCCGATTGCAAAGCTAATCCAATAAACCATTTTGATTCTCAAATTATTAGACTTCCTATCCATGGCTCTTTCCTAGCCTTGCTATGTTGCTTTATAGTAATGTTACATAACAATAGCAAATTATTCAATATCAAATTTAGTCAATGCAAGCTCATGTTGCCATTACCTTGTCATTGAATGCCTACTATTAAGGTGCTTAATGAAGGCTGTTGTGCCTGCCTATGTGGATATCTAGAAATGCCGTCCCTGTGTATTCAAAGAGCCTGCTCCTGTGACAGAAAAAAAATACCATCTGACCTATTATTGACTTATATTAATCCCTTATTTTAGGAGAGACGATAGAAACTTCCAATAAGAGACTATTACTCATATAAACGGACAATATTGTGTATGCTTATATCCTTTGTAGGTCCAAGGACCATGGTAAAAGCAAATATCATTTGGATTCAGATAGAAAATATTACATAGTCTTATAATACAGAGGTTCTTATAGCTCCATGATATTAAACTTATCTCTATCCATACTTAGATGTTATGATACTAGTTTTCCACAGAAAATCTGCCAAGTTAGTAGGGGTTTCATGTAATAATGGTTTAGACATGGAGAAAGAGAAGAGAGAGGGAGATAGCACAGTTTTTAAAAGCTGAGCTTTCTTTCATTTTTATGTTTTGGCACTTCAGGGTATTTTATAATTTCTAATAGAATTTATGAGATGTTGGAAAAAACAAAACATTGACCATGAATGAATTTTATAACTAGAGTTATAAAATAATGTACATGCTACACACCAAAAAACTTTCACCAAACACATATTGACTCTAAACACTCAGCACACTTCTTTATAGCAAGTAAATGTACATGTATCTACATAACAGTCTAAAGACATGTACATTGTCTTTAAAAATAAAATCTCATATTCATCCACTGCTGCACCTGTATTAGCTGATTTCAGCATGACATTCAATAAACATGTACTATTACAGAAGTAGCTACTGTTTAGCAGATTAACAGATATTTCACAAACTTGCTGTTGATTAATGAATAATTACTATCAAAGCTATGTCATTTAGTATTGTTCTCTGTTTAAGCATTTTTATAAGAGTTAGAAAGTCCTTTCAATGAAATCATACAGCATGAAAATTATCCAAAACTATTTACAAATACAGTTTTCTGTTCACTGACTCTGATATTCTCTGAGCTTCCTCACTGGAGTCTTCATCATCACTGTATTCAAAAGCAGAACCGCTGTCAGTATCTGAATAATCCATAGCAAAGGTTTAATACTGACGCTTCTTGTTCTGAAGCAGTTCCTTTGTGTCTCATGGCTAGTAGGGAACACAACAGTAGATTGATACCTCAGGGGAACACAGTGCATGAAGCCAAGGTAGAGATAGTTCATGCAAAGCTCCTGTCCCAGGAAAGGCTCTCCTTTCCATCTCTATGGCACTGTGACTGCCGCCAGCAGAGTCCTAGCATTCTCTCAGTGCCAGCCTTCATGGAAACTGACACTACTCCAGTTGCTTATGAACTTATGGCAATTCATGGGCTGGAGTCCTTTATTCTCAGTCAAGTGTAATGGCTTAATGCCCACAGTTAAGTTTGGATCACACAGGACAAAAGGAATCCTTTTCATCTCAAAATCAAAGGCAATCTTACTACAAGTAGGATATTCAAAATGGATAGGATGTGACAAGCATCAAAGAGCCACTGAAAGTGAAATTATACTTTGAATTAATTATGAACTAGAGTTGTAGAGTTTGTGACAAATTCAGCAGTGCTATTTGAAAGTGTGGTCCCAGAGCAAATAAATGTTCTTCAAAAAAATGTTGTATCAGGTCATTCACTGACTCTATTTTCTATTTAGTCATGAAGTTATTCCAACAGGATTTACACCTCCCACGTTCTAATAGAACACACATACTAAGTGTAAAAAGAATTAATACATGCAAATAAATACTTGTCTTCTAACCAAGCTTAGCAAAGAGTAAGCAACCAGTGAATAATAGCTTGTCATCATCATCACCACCACCACCACCACCACCACCATCATCATGGTCATCATCATCACTTTAGGGTCCTCTGACATCAGGAACCACGTGACCCTTTGAATAAATATACTGTATTTTGCCATGAATAACATGCTCCCATGTAAAATGCACACCCACATTTTTGGCTCAAACTTTCAGGGAAAAGAATCTTTGTTTTAATTTTTCAATTCAAATTTTCATTTGTTTACATTTAGGTACTTATTTTTTGTATTTCTAAGAAATTTTAGCATGTAGTTTTGTTTGTTTGTTTGTTTGTTTTTTAGCTGAGCCATCCTGCTATCTGTTGGCAGCTCAGCGGCTGCTCAGCTCGGGCTGGACTCGAACCGCTGTTGCTCAGAGCTCAAACTCTTGAGCGAGCTCTTAACCAACTGAGCCACTCGGCCGGCCCAGCATGTAGTTTTTAACATATTATGGTACAAGAAATTTTATGTACTGGTAACAAATCTACAATATTTACGCATTATAGAAGGCCAAGAACTCTTTGTTGTTGCAAGTTTGTTCTAAGTTCAACAAGACCAACGATCATATTCTAGGGTATTATTTTGCATACAGATTCATTATTGATTTCTAGAGCTATACTTTTAACTCATAAGCATAAATAAAAGAATTAAAAACATTTATATAGGTACAGAATTAGTACTACCCATGTATAATGTGCATCCCTTTTTTTTTTAGCTGAGCCATCCTGCCACCTGTTGGTAGCTCAGTGGCAACTCAGCTCGGGCCAGGAATCAAAACGGCAACACTATTGCTCAGAGCTCGCACTCTTGAGTGAGCTCTTAACCAACTGAGCCACTCGGCTGGCCTATAATGTGCATCCTTATTTTTCCCTCACACATTTAGGCAAAAAAGTACGCATTATACAGGGCAAAATATGGTACTTTCCTTATAAAACCTCCTTCCCTAATTTTTTATAATTATATCAGTCTCCCAATTCTTTCCTGACATCACATTCTCAATATATTCTCCTGAATCTTCTCTAATTCACTGTAATCTAGATGTTTCTCCAAAATTCTTTTTATTGCCCTGATTTCTCTTATTGGGAGAACTGCATACAATCCTCTGGCATCAGCTATTAGTTTTATATTAATGACTTCCAAGTTTTCATTTCTAACATTTACTTCTCTCCTACTGGCCATCCCTGTCTGGAAATTCCATTGCAATCTCTAATTCAAACCTACCTCATTTTCTTCTAACCTCAAAACCACTATTCCCCTTGGGTGCTCTATCTTGGTAAATGATATCACTGTTCTTGCATTCACCTAGGCTTAAAAGACTAGATTCTTTTTTCTTTTTTTATTCTCTCTCATTCCTTGCGTGCGTTGATTACATTGGCTCTGTCTTTGCCTTTCCTCTTACATCTATCTTTCCTTTGCATTTTCATAGCCACTGCTTCTACTTCGGGTCATCATCACCATTTCTAGTCTGGAATGCTAATATGGCCTCATAACTGATCTCTCTGGTTCTCTTCCTTTCAGAGGCCAGACAATCTTTTTGAAGACATTAAAAACTAAGCTTGGGAGGATGTGTTCAGTTAGCAAGATGAGTCAAGAGATGTATTTTCTAAAAAAACAAGAACAACATGCACAAAAGCTCCGAGATAGAAAAGTGTATTGTACAACAAAAAGGTTGGAATTCAGGGACTGAGGAAAAGGAGGCAGGGGGCAGGAACACATCATTCGGTACAGGTAGGCTACTCTGAAGATTTATTTTTAAAAAGAAATTCACTAGGTGAACCCTTTTTCCTTTCCCTTTTATTTCCCTTTCCTTTTTATTAAATAAAATTTAAAAATTAGTTGAAAAGCTCAAGCTTAATTAGAGAAAATAATTTGTATGCCATAATGAAATAATCAAGGAAATAATTTTAGATGAACAATTTTACTTATTAAAAGGAATGTTGCAATATAGCCTTTTATATATTAAAGAATATATCTAAACAGAAAATATGATCTTTTCTTTAGAATTTTCCAATGTAGAATATAAGAGTAATGAAAGAACAAAATGTATTTTTAAAAAATCAATGTATTATGACCACCATAGAGTTGAGTGTAGAGAAGATCAACTTTCTGGAGTCCAAGCAAGGCAGTCTCTGCCTTCTCATCAACAGGGACTCATGACATAAACTTAAAGAGAATGCTTCCCTAGGCAGAACAATTATAAGTGTTATCCATAAAGTAACTCCAAAGTTCATTCTTCCTGGTAGTATAGGTGAATATTTCCATTTACTACATCAATTCACTTCCTGAGAGAATGCAAATCCTTTTGGATCTGTACCCATGGAAGGTCACAATAAGAAAATCAGGGCAATCAATTTGGAATAATTCTGTTATCACATTTTTTTTAAATATTACTCCTACTGGGTTGATGGCATAATGATTTTTTCATGTGATATATGAACTTCACATTCTACAGCATACTTCAAGACAATGAACATAAACATTCATTAGGTAAAACTAGGTGAAACTGTTGTGTTGTTTGTTTTTTTTTCAGGTAAAAAAAATGATCAATTTTTGGCAATGTCATCTGTGTTTGATCTTATACATGGAATTAGCAAAAGTGAAAGGGGAGAAAAAAGCAATTGCAAAGGGGTATATATTGGTATTTCTTTCTGTTGTCCTGCCTTCAGGACACTAGCTTAACTGAGATTTCACAGCTATCCATACTGCTTCCATATTCCATATTTGAATGTATTTATTCCTCAGAATGTTGATGTCATTAATGGCTTTTGCTCTTCTATCTAGTCATTAAATATAATTCTCTCTACATTTCATAATTAGAGTAAAGAATAACCACTGAAAAAATCCTGAATTCTAGTTTTTGTTGTTGTTGCTAGAGTACAATGGTATTTACTCTGTACTCTGACTTCAAATATTATCTCTTTGGCAAAATAATACAAATCTAAAATGTCTCCCCAGACTGTATTTTATGGAAAGAAAGAAGAGCTTGTTGTTTTCATTTATTCTGTTGCTTTATTAGTTGTTTAGGAATACAGACTTATCAGTATAATGCCATTGCTTTTTTAGGGCCCCATTAGGTCTTTTTCTGAATGATTTCAAGATGTTTTAAGAGGAATAAAAAGAAAAGTATTTTACTCTACTAAAATTTTAAATATCAAACCTGGAGCAATATAATCGATGTTCTGTTCATTTTACTCAAATCAAACACTCACTTTCCTGTTGATTCTATACTTCCCCTTCTGTTATCCATACTTTATAACATAATCTAGATTAAGATAAATCTGATGGTTGGTTTTACTTTTCAGACATTGTTCATATAATTTTGTAATGTAAGTGGCCAAAACAAGTTTTAATTTTTGGAGAAGATATTAATAGACTAATTATTTCATGGGTGTTTCATGGATCATGGGTGTCTCATGCATCATGGGGATCTCAAGGTTGTATGCTTTAAAGAATAAAATAATGCATTGATCCTTTCCTCTTTCTTTGTTTCTTCTACATTAATTCTTCAATTTCCCCTATCTTTAAAATAGAGAAAAAGGAAGCATGTTGGAATGATTGCTGGAATGTATGTACTAGTAAACCTCAGTGATGCATGTTTGCAATGGACATTAAGTTGCATGGTCCCATATTTCAAAAGGTTTCCTAAAGTGCCCTCAGGCCAGGAGGGTGTTTTCTCTTGTAAAAATTTCTAGGCAGCATGTCAGGAGAGTGTCTCCTATTTCTTGTTCTATTGTCAAGTTAGTGTATGACCTTGAGAAAATGTCCCAGTCTCTGTTTCATTTTTCACATTTGAAATGGTGATTGAAATCACTGCTCTGTCCTCCTCTGTAATTAGTTAGAATTTTACCAAAGCGGAAACTTTTTAAAAGTTCTAATTATCATGGTTTTCAATGCTCCTAAGATGATTCATCCTGAATCCAAGGATATTTCTTTAGATAGAAAAGGATATTACAAGTCTGTAATTGTGATGTACCATCTGAATATGTAAGAAGCATATCACAGCATGGATTTTCATATTCATAATTTTATGTGATGAATGAAATGTATTTTCACTTAGAAATCAGACACGTCCACTTGACATAATATATTCTCATAATTACAAGCCGAGGACAATGTAATAAATGTCCATGAAATAATATTTGGGTAAATAAAAATTAAAATTCAGATTTTCATTGGGCTTTTTTAAGGAAGAGAAATATCCAGAATTTAAAAATATAGTTAAACTTTTGAGATTATACTTAATAAATATATAATTATAATAATGTTCCCAGCCAACTGAGCAGCAACCCCACCACTGAGAAACGTGGACCTTGGGGA